GAAGATGAAAATTATAGCTAGGGCATTTCTGGTGCGCGATATGTGACTTGTATATATATAGGGCATTTCTGGTGTGACATGTGACTTGTATATATATATATAGGGCATTTCTGGTGTGACATGTGACTTGTATATATATAGGGCATTTCTGGTGTGACATGTGACTTGTATATATAGGGCATTTCTGGTGTGACATGTGACTTGTATATATATATAGGGCATTTCTGGTATGACATGTGACTTGTATATATATAGGGCATTTCTGGTGTGACATGTGACTTGTATATATATAGGGCATTTCTGCGACGACATTTCTGGTATTTTATACAATTTGTAGAATAAATGTTTAAACTTAGATTAAAATGAGCATGAGATTGCAATAATTTTGCAGTGTTAACAGATCCATTTCATTAGATTGTTTAAAGTAAAACTATTTGCTTTGAAACAATATCTAATACACTAAAGTATTGCTATAATGTCGTCTTTCTTTTTCATTGTTTTCTGGTTCTTACTGTATACAAAAGACAATATATAGCAGTCCTCCCTGCATTTAAACTATGTTTGCTTGATGTATGCATGTATTTGGCCTGAAATACAGGCCTATTATTAGGTTTTCAATACTGAATATATATTGCAACAAATACAGTTCAAAGTAGATAGATAGATAGATAAATATATAGATAAACCCCCCACTACCATTTCCATCCTTATTCCCCCCTGGCGAATTTAAGTATTCACGCTTGTACCTAGTCTACTTTACTTTATCAAATTATGTAAATTACGAAGAGATAAAAAGGTTCAAAATGAATATCCGGCAAAAACGGGCTAAAAACCATTTCCAAAATTAGACAAGTCACACATATGCATTATCTTATTTATGACCCTTTCTTACCAATACAGATTTAGAATTGGAGTAGGAGAAAAAGTGCAAAAAGTTGGAGTATGGAAGTTTATATTTTACTAGACCTTCTTCTTTATCATTTATTTATATAATTCATTCATCATTCATTTGATCATATATATCCTTTTCATTCATCATTCATTTATATATTCTTTTCATTCAATATTCACCCAGATATCCTTTAAATTCATCATTCATTCATATATACTTTTCATTCATTATCCATTCATATTTCCTTTTCATTCATTATTCATTCATATAATCTATTCATTCATTCTTTCTTTTCATTCATCATTCATTCATTATTCATTCATATATCCTTTTCATTCATAATTAATTCATATATCCTTTTCATTCATTATTCTTTCATATATCCTTTTCATTCATAATTCATTCATATATCTTTTTAATTCATTATTCCTTCATTTATACTTTTCATTCATTATTCATTCATAGATGCTTTTCATTCTACTTTTATTCATATATCCTTTTCATTAATCATTCATTTATATATCTTTTTCATTAATCATTCATTTATATATCTTTTTCATACATCATTCATTTAAATGTCTTTTTCATTCATCATTCATTCATATATCCTTTTCATTAGTCATTCATTTATATATCTTTTTTATTCAACATTCATTCATCCTATTACAGAGGCAAAGATATGAACATAATGTAAATTCATTTAGTAAGTAGATTAATTAAATATGTACATTGCTGACTACCCAAACTTCCTTTTTTTGTTAAAAGTAATATTTATATTTTTAAAATTGAAATTCTAATCGCTATTCTAAGCTTATTATATTACTTAGAAATGTCAAAGTAAAAAGAAGAGAGAAGAGCTGTATTCCACTAATATTTGGTAATCACTATACATACAGGGTGTCCCAAGAAATATGACAGTTGGTGAATAGTTTAAATTGTCTTTTTCCATAATTTGATAAGTTGTTTGATACTAAAGAGACTAATATGACAGTTATATTATAGTAAAATTGATTTCGCAGTAAAATATATCTGAGTTAAACATTTTTTTAAGGAAACAAACTGTAACAAGTCTTTAATATCTAATACAGTATGTGGAAGAAGACATTCAAAACTATTTACCAACTGTCATGTATCGTGGGACACCCTGTACATGCCAATATTATGACAATACAGAAATGTTTGTACCACAACAAACATGAACAATTGTATGTTGATTTTCGACTTTTTTCCTCGGCCAAGTTTTATATTTACAGTAGTTGCCAATATCATGAGAAATCCTTATTTTTTATATCAAAATACCTTTAGACGAAATTTTTTATATTATTATATTTAACTTTAGATTAAAAAGATATAAAGAAATATTACAGAAAGACTTTAACGAAATATAGAGCAACAGCGTAACTCACGTAAGCCATGCTTACTTCACTAGTCAAGGTTAAAGCTATATAAACTCTGCAGGGGGGGTTACAAAGAAAATGCATAAATGTAAATATTTATGACAAGCTGCAAAACCCAGATTCCATAAGAGATCGTCACATTGACAATACAAAAAATGGAGCTATGAAGGATTGGAGTAGAGGGGGGGGGGGNTGACATGTGACTTGTATATATATAGGGCATTTCTGCGACGACATTTCTGGTATTTTATACAATTTGTAGAATAAATGTTTAAACTTAGATTAAAATGAGCATGAGATTGCAATAATTTTGCAGTGTTAACAGATCCATTTCATTAGATTGTTTAAAGTAAAACTATTTGCTTTGAAACAATATCTAATACACTAAAGTATTGCTATAATGTCGTCTTTCTTTTTCATTGTTTTCTGGTTCTTACTGTATACAAAAGACAATATATAGCAGTCCTCCCTGCATTTAAACTATGTTTGCTTGATGTATGCATGTATTTGGCCTGAAATACAGGCCTATTATTAGGTTTTCAATACTGAATATATATTGCAACAAATACAGTTCAAAGTAGATAGATAGATAGATAAATATATAGATAGATAGATAGATATTTAGATATATATATATATATATATATATATATATATAGATAGATAGATATATAGACATATAGATAGAGAGAAAGATAAATATGTAAATATAATAGATAGATAGATATAGATATACATATATATATATATATAGATAGATAAATAAATATATAGATATATAGATAGATAGAAAGATATATAGATAGATAGATAGATTACACGATCCTCTTTAAAGAGACATCAATTTATGAACATGAGTTTTTGTTTACGAAACATGAATAACAGATTGATATTTAATCTGGGTTTTTGGCTTGTATTTCGGCCTGAATACACGGGGAGGTAAAAACCTGGCATCTTTACAGGTTGGAACAAGAAAAACTGTCTATATATATTCTTGGTTGTTGATATTATTATGACAAATTAGAACTATATGATAACTATGGTTGCTTGGTAATTTTAGGAACCGTTATTTATGTAAAGACTAAAATAAATTTTTCGTTTTTAAATCCGTCCCTAAATTCTGATAAACTCATAATTTCAATAAACTTATTTTTTGATAAACTCGTAATTTGGACCAACTCGTTATAATTGATAAACTCATAGTTTGGATAAACTCGTTGTATTGATAAACTTGTTGTTTTAACAAATCCTGAATTTGAATAAACTCGTAATTTTGATAAACCTGTGATTTTAAAACCTGTGATTTTAAAACCTATAATTTTGATAAACCTGTAATTTTGATAAACCTGTAATTTTGATAAACCTGTAATTTTGATAAAAAACTTTTGATTGATGGCTCACTCAAGCTCACATACACACCCTTAAACACTAGGACATATGTACAGGGTTACCTACAAAGGATGAGACTGCGAAGGGAATTTATTCAATATGTAGGATAAGTTATCTATATATGAAGTAGTAATCTCTGTTTGTTTATGTGTATGTCCGATCATAACTGAGGAACCCCTTAACCGATTTGCCTCAAATTTTGATTGGGGAACTCGGTAGAACGACGGGAACGTTCGAAGCTAGATTTTAAAATTCTTAGTTGAGTATTGAAAAATTATGTTCCAAGCAAAGCTGGGTTCCCAAGCTACTACAAAACTTAATATCTTTGACATGAAAACAACTTCAATCTTCACTGGTTTCAGTGTTTGTGGGTAACCCTGTATATATATTATATATTTATTCCTAGACTTGAAACGCCCAAAAAGAATCAAACAAAACGCCCAACCACAGAATTAACCGATTTCCATCAAATTTGCCAAAAAAGATTTCTTTTATCTTTATTGTATGTAAGACATTGACCTTTAAAATAAATTGGAATTGAAAGACGACATTTCAAGCAGGTTCAAATTCGCATAAAAAATATTTAAATTTATCATTTATCGTTCATTAAACAGTGGTACAAATTCGTATATAAAGATTTATTTAAATTTATCATTTAATTTCAAAACAGTAAATACTCGGTAGTCTTTAAAATAAATTGGAATTGAAAGACGACATCAAATGATGTAGTAGATACAAATTCAAAAAAATAAAAGCGTCCGAAAGTGTTCAATTCACAATGTTTTCAAGTCACCATTTTTTCACCGTTCTCCAATCAAACCAATTTTTAGAGGATTTTTCTGTTTGAATTGGGACATTTTCAAAAATTATAATTTTTGTATTTTTCAGTCAACATTTTTTATTTCGACAAGACATAAGTTTATAAACCCTCCTTGCGCAAACTCTAGTATGCCGCGTCCATTAGCGCCTGATCAGGGTTCAGCCATGTGTTTGTTGTCTGTTCTGTACCAGTAGAAAAAGTATAGCGGTAACCTCTATCTTTCTATCTATCTCATTATCCAATCAGAGTAATGGAAATATTGTACTTTGTCAAAAAAAAGGCCCAATCGGTTCAGCCGTTAAGACATTTGTTGGGTACGGCCAGACAAACAAAGTATAAATAGAGAACAGATATGTACTTCACGGGCAGCCGTAGTACATTTGAATTTCCGAGCCGGGTCAACCTTTCCTGTCCCAGTTTGTACTGTACCTAGCTCTATGGACAGGACTATCTGGTGCAACAAGGTTGACGCGGTCAGACTTTATGCCTCACATAGGTTGAATTTACTTTTACTAAAGGGGCAGAGGTGCGTGGTACTTACATATCCAGATAGTGCTGTTCTTATCTGAGGCCCAGCCAAGTCTAAGTCCCTTGACCCCTGGTGGAAGGACGTCCTCTAGTGATAGGGCCTCCTCTAAGGTCACATAGGGACCTGAGGGGGTGTCACACAATCTAGCAAAAAGGAAGGATACATTGAAAATGTTACACCATGAGAGATAAACATGGTTTTTATATCTAGAAATTAGTTTCTGGTTCAAAACTTATAGAGAAACAAAAAAAAACATTTTAAAGAAAAGGAAAATCATTAAAATTGATTTTAAATTTTCTAACACGATTGTTCTTGTTTTGGCTTTTTGCTTTCTTTAACAAAAGTTTAAACGCGTTCAGAAAAAAAAATTAACAAATAAGATTTATATGGCTTTTGTCTGTGGCATTCAGAAATTTATCATTTTAATTTTCTTGAAATTAAAAGTCCTTAACTATCTTGATATATCAATAATCCTTTAACAATCACATTAAGCTGAGCCTAAGGTTAGTGGTAGTTAGTTACTTATATTGCATAGTTAATTTATGTAAATTAGACCAATTATAAACCTACCCAAACAAATCCTCCCTAACCATCCAGTAATCAGCATCCAAAACCTGAATAAAAACATTAAACTAGCTAAAATCAAAATTATGCATTAAATTTTTTTCTCCCCTTTTTTAAATTATTAACAATATAGAAGAAAATTCTCACAAGAAAAAGATGTGTGAGTAACTTTTTTTATCCGTTTGTTAACCATTATTTTTTACCCAACAACTTAGCAGGACTTTCTATTAGTTAAAGCATCTCATGCATATAAGCAAACATTTCTCCTTAGTAAAGGGCCAGTTGATGTCCCACACCCAAATAGAAGTACAGATACACTGGCAGCAGTGGTACATTTGAATGTCCGAGCTGGGTCAACCTTTCCAGTCCCAGTTTGCCCAGACATTGGGTAAATAAAGCAGACACTTAACAGGACTAGCCCATGACTAGCTGGTGCAACAAGGTTGTTCTTTTGAAATCAGTTGCCTGCTACCCTCAGAAGAGAACGGAACTCTCTTATAGCAGCTCTGGATTTACAGGTTGGTGGAGCGCTGCATTTAGCTGTGCATCTTATATTCTACAGGGGAAGTCAGAAATGTACATAAATACATAAGTACATAAATCAAGACTTCATCTTCAGCCTGGAGTAACTGAAAGAAGGAGTCTAATTCCTGATAGGTACACAATAGGGGTGATCAATATTGGAATTAAGCCAACCGCAATAAAAAAAATTTCAAAATCATCCATAGGGTTGCGATTTGACAATTTAATATCTTAGAATTCACCGTAAGGCCATGAATTTTTTTTATTTTCATGTTATTCATCATGTTCTTTTAAAAAAATGAGAATGGAAAAATGGTTTTCGAGTCTAAATTCAGTATGAAATTTCCAAGAAAATGATGTATCATATCTACTTTTTAAAAAAAATTTTGTTTGGCCTTACTTCTCAACCCTATGGACAATTTTAAAATTAATTTTTATTTCAATATTTTTTTTAAAGTAAAAACGCAGCAACCTCCAGTAGGCGGTTGGCTGATCTAAAAAGTCAAAAATCAATCACCCTTAGTATACAAGCCATGCACAACAATACTGTTTTTTTACTTGACCAGCTGTGAGGACTGGAATGCTTTGAAAGATTCCTCTCAATGGGGTTTTAGGGCTTACAACTCCCCATTTTGATAAGGGGTGCAGTTATGGGTTTCGTTAATGCCCTTTAACTTGTAAAGATCATAATAGAACAAACACAGGGAGCAATCCCCTATACCCTTCTCCCTACAAACCTCCTTATCTCTCTCCTACCTTCTCCACAACTCAATGTCAAAAGAACTATTTGGAGAGCCTTAAAGTGTATAACAAGAAACAAGAAGCAAAAAGAAAAAAGAAAATTTAACAGAAAAAAGTGGAAGGGAAATCTCTTGATATTAGAGATAAGGGCTTGGAAGATGTTCCCCACCCACCTGGGAGGGGGGAGGGGGGGAATTGGTGTTTTTGATAAGTCAGATGCGTAAACAATTTAGTACAGAGTTCCGAAAAAAAAGAAAGCAAGACCTTCTCAGCTAGTTCAATGCAGAGTTTAGAAAAATAGTTCTTTCTTGTAAAGTGGCGAACTACAAGGACATCCAAAAAAATTCTTTTCTTTCTATTTTCAAGATTAGCCTAAAAATGATTGAAAGATGTACAAACAAGAAGAAAATGAAGAACAAGATATATAGAAATCTCAAAATATTTCCATTTGATATCATTTAAATATTTAAAAATTCAATTAAAATAATTATTAAAGTTAAAAAATTTTCTTTTGAAATTCAGAAAAAAGAGGGGAATAATTGTAACCAGCTTTGCTAAAGAAACTGTAAGCATAATTTCAAGGAACCCTGCTTGCAAAAAGGACAATGCCTGATTCACAACAGTTCCCTTTAAAGATTTGTCGGATCAAGAATGAATTATTTATCAATGTTTTCAATTTTTCAAATATGCGGTACTGTTGTGAATCAGGTATTACCAAATTTGCATATAGGTTTGTCTGAAACTCTGCTTACAGACCCTTTCCTATTGATGAATACTGTCTTCTTACCTCATCAGGAAGCAGAAAAAGCTCATCAGGAAAATCCCCATTATCATCTTGAATGTGTTCTTCATATACTTCTTTCAAAACTGGGATGGACTTGAATAAAGATGAATATTGATTCTCAAATATAATTGCCTTTTCCTCTTCTTCTCTTGTGTCAATTAGTTCATTGTCTAAATTGATGTTTTGTTTGATTCTTTTCTTTTCAAACCAAGCAACTTCCTTTGAATGTTCAGTTTGTTCATTATCATTAATACTCTCTTCATGATCTTCAGATTCTTTTCCATCTTTAGAGTATTCCAATATGTCATTTAAATTATCTAAATAGTGTGTAGAATCATTTGACTGATAGCTTGGTACCTTCCCCTGCATGGCTGATTGACTGTTCTTCAGATTTACTGTAGAAAAAGTACCTCTTTCTTGACACTTCCATGTATTCAGTTGTTCAAGTAGATTTTCCATATGAGGACACTCTTCTGCAGACTCATTGATGTTCATTAGATTTGAAACCTTTCGCTGTCTTGATACCTTCCTGCTATAAGTAGTGCTAGAAGGTTCTTTGAAAAGAGAATCTCTAAATACAGAGTCTCTATAAAGTGAATCCTCTTTCAAATAAAAGTTGTCCAAACTAAGATTTTTGTTTTTGCTCTCATTTAGAGATTTTCTGCGGGTCTTATCTGCATCTATAGAATAAGCCTTGTTGTCAACCATGAAAGAGCGCTTCCTTACTTTCGAAAAAATTCTTTCACCTAGATATGTTGGAGGCTTATTGATTGTAATATAGGCATTATCAGGTTCTGTTTCTAGTTTGATCGGCGTTTCTTCAATAAAAACTGCTTCTGTTATGCTATAAGTTAGGTTTGGTAATTCTAAAATTGCAGGCGTAAAAGCGCTGGCATGAGGTGCTCTGTTAACTTGTTGGATTGAATTAGCAGGAACAGTGTCATTAGAGCTGCTAGTGTTAGACTTAGGAGAAGCATTGGGTAAAGTAAAGGGTAGACTAATTCCGTTAAACACATATTCCTGGGAAGTTTTGTATCCAGAATCTAATGGACTCATATCTTCAAAGCCACTATCATTTTGACCAGAGTCTTCATTCATCATCATGATATACTTTCCATCTACTACTGAGTTTCGCCTAGTTGACTGTGCACTATCAGATGGGTCCTTTCTATCCAGAAGATCTGCTAGGGAGTAGCGCCTGTTTGGGTCACGTCTCTTAACCTCAATATTCAGACAATTAACTTTAGCGGAACATGAAGAATATTGAAAGCTTTTTGGCAAGGATGTTATTAGCGTTTTAGAACTATTTCGATGAATATCAGGCATAAATGTTTTAATGTTGTTATTAGTTTTGCCACTTATGCGTTGAGGCACCGGGATAGGCATAAGGACTTTGTTGGTCCGTCTGGGGCTAGTCAAATTATGCATTGCAGGAGTTTTGTCCGCGTAAGGAGGTTTATGTTTTAGGAATCTATGACCAAACGTTATATTTTCTGAGTCAAATTGAATTGAAGAGTCCAGGATGTGGAGATGGTTCATGTTGTTTTCATGATTGACTGGAAAGCAAGAGTGGGACAATTCTTCATTCTTTTTATCTTCAACAGCATCCTAAAAATATCATTAACTAATTTTTTATTTTTAATTACCTAAAGTGCAATAAAACAAGACAAATTCTTAAGTAATTGCATGAATAGATCAAAATATACAGCTCTACAAAATTGAACCTTTACCATCAACTGGGCTGTTAACACAATTTTAAACAGCTATAATCTCTAATTAAAGATTACAAATGATTTTCAATTGCGGGTTCTCTGTAAAAGTGACTTACGAAATTACCACAAAAATCTCTTGAAATGTTTGTGAAAAAAAAACATAAATGGCATCAAAATTGTTAATTTATTGATTATTAATTATAAAAAAATTTTCAACTTTATATCAGAGCAGAGTCCTTTAAGCTGTGGGTGCGTGCTAAAACATGATAGTGTTAAAACTTACTTATTTTGCTTTGTTCTGTCTTTTCAAGACTCAGTCTATTCATATTGAAATCTAAGCTGCTTGTGAGTTCACAATTATACTTCTTGCACAAACATCTTCAACTGTTTTAGTGCAAAAGGGAGGAGTGGGAGGAGCCGAGGTGGGTAGGGAGGGACACTCAAAATACAATAAAATAATTCATTATTCACTGCAAATTAAAATTTTCTAATTTTAAGGTTTAAACCTTTGATCGGTATATCGCTTTGCTTGAGCTTAACTAAACTAAATAGTTTGTGTAAAAACTTCATAAATCAGGGAAAGGTTTTCATTTTTGGCACCATTGAGGTATTAATGCACATTCAAGGTCTAGCTGTCAACCACGGGCAGCCGTAGTACATTTGAATTTCCTAGCCGTGTCAACCTTTCCGGTCCCAGTTTGTACTGTACCTAGCTCTATGGACAGGACTAGTCGGTGCAACAAGGTTGACGCGGTCAGACTTTATGCTTCATATAGGCTGAATTTACTTTTAATAAAGGGGCATATTTGCATGCAACGGGAAGAGGCAGTCAGCAATAGATTAAGATACAATAGATTGTTGATATTTTAGACATTTTGAATTTTAAACTACGAATTCTGCTATATGAAATAGTTACATTTTATGTAAGGTTTAAATGGTTTTTTAATATTAAAAAGTTTGAGTTTAAAGCAAGTAATCGGTTCATTAGGTTCATTTTAATTACATAAAAATATTTATAAAACACTGAGATTCTTCAAGGTCCATATAGATATAAATCAATGACTAGATGTAATTCTAGATCTACATAATTATAAATCAAGGAAAAGAGTTCTTAAGGATCTATTTAATTGTAAATCAATAAAGTGATTTTCTTCTAGATCTGTATATTTATAAATCAATGTTGGATGTACTTCTAGATTCATATATTTATAAATCCATGTTGGATGTACTTCTAGATCTATATATTTATAAATCAATGTTGGATGTACTTCTAGATCTATATATTTATAAATCAAAGTTGGATGTACTTCTAGATCTATATATTTATAAATCAATGGTAGAAGAACTTCTAGATTCATATATTTATAAATCAATGTTGGATGTACTTCTAGATCTATAAATTTATAAATCAATGGTAGAAGAACTTCTAGAAACATATATTTATAAATCAATGTTGAATTAACTTCTAGATTCATATATTTATAAATTAATGTTGGATGGACTTCTAGATTCATATATTTATAAATCAATGTTGGATGAACTTCTAGATTCATATATTTATAAATCAATGTTGGATGTTCTTCTAGATCTATATATTTATAAATCAATGTTGGATGTAATTCTGGATCTATATATTTATAAATCAAAGTTGGATGTACTTCTAGATCTATATATTTATAAATCAATGGTAGAAGAACTTCTAGATTCATATATTTATAAATCAATGTTGGATGTTCTTCTAGATCTGTATATTTATAAATCAATGTTGGATGTACTTCTAGAAACATATATTTATAACTCAATGTTGAATTAACTTCTAGATTCATATATTTATAAATCAATGTTGAATTAACTTCTAAATTCATATATTTATAAATTAATGTTGGATGGACTTCTAGATTCATATATTTATAAATCAATGTTGGATGTACTTCTAGATCTGTAAATTTACAAATCAATGGTAGAAGAACTTCTAGAAACATATATTTACAAATCAATGTTGGATGTACTTCTAGATTCATATATTTATAAATCAATGTTGGATTGAACTTCTAGATTCATATATTTAAATATCAATGGTAAATGAAACTCTAAATCAATATATTTATAAATCAATGTCGGCCATCCAGAATCAATCAATTGATTATTTAGAAACAGATCCTACATGAGAAATATTTTAATATCATTGTGTGGGATTCAGGGTGTGGTTTCTCAAGATGGAATCGGTGGAGGTCTTTATTGTATCTGTAATAACAGGGATACACATTTTCCTTAAAAATCACTCACTACCACTTTCCCCACTTCTCTTTCAAGTCCAATTCCCCCCCCCCCCCCCCCCCCCCTTTTTTCTCCCCCACCCCCCCCCCCCCCCCCCTCCTCCCCAAGTTAAGACAGTTATGGGAGGGGGGTTATTAATTTATTTTACTTAAATGTCCCAAAAGAAGTTAAGTAACTTAACGTCTCTTTGGGAAATTAATGGGAAGCAATTGGTGAAGGGCGGTAAAATTAATTAATTAAAAAGTAGAAGGAAAACTTTAGATATCGTAAAATTAAATTATTTTCATTAATTTTCATAATTTTTATGATTTTTGATGAGTTTTTGATGAATTTAAAAAAAAATTTCCTTATCTTTTCGAATTAAAAGTTGCAATTAATTTTGGATGAATTTACAAATATTTTTCTTATTTTATTTATACCTCACCTCTTCTTCAAATTTTACAGATTCCAGGATATCCGCTAAATTCTGAGAAAAACTAAGAAACAACATATCTAAATTTTCCAAAAAAGTAAATATCTTCAAAGCATTTAAATAAAATAAAGTTTTCTTAAAATGTAATTGAAAAAAAAATATTTTCAATTTATTTTTATTTTTTGGCAAAAGGTTGTCAATAGATTAGTAAATAAAAAAAGGAAAAAAATCCGGACGATTCCCTTTCTGTTAGAAAGTTAAGACTGCTAAAAAATGTATGTATGATTCTCAGTTTTGAATATAAATTAAAACACATGTTTAAAAACAAACCAAAATGGCAAAAACTAAAATTTTATGATAGATATAATCATCTCCCTGATTCGTCGCTCATCAGAGTTGATCTCCATCTTGGCGATCACGTTGATCTCCTCCAGCGCTAGATCCAACATCTTCAAATCTTAAAGGAACAGCCTTAGAAATTGTGAATTGTGAACATTAACTTTATTTCATCAAAAGTATGAACCACTTACTGAACGTTTCCTTACTGAACGTTTCCTTACAGGACGTTTCATTACTGAACGTTTTCTTACTGAACGTTTCCTCACAAAATAATTCTTTAATGAACGTTTCCTCAAAAAATGTTTCTTTACTGAACATTTCCTCACAAAATGTTTCTAAACTGAACGTTTCCTCACAAAATGTTTCTTTATTGAACGTTCTCTCACAAAATGTTTCTTACTGAACGTTTTCTCACACAATGCTTTATTACTGAAAGTTTCCTCACAAAATGTTTCTTTACTGAACGTTTCCGCACAAAATGTATCTTTACTGAACGTTTCATCACAAAATGTTTCCTACAAAAAAAGTTTTCTGTCACAAAACGTTTCTTACAAAACTTTTCCTTACAAAAGGTTTCCATACTGAATGAGTCCTCACAAAACGTTTTCTGCCACAAAACGTTTCCTTACAAAACAATTCCCTACAGAACGGTCCTTTATAAAACGTTTCCTTACAAAACGTTTCCTTACTGAACGTTTCATTACAAAACGTTTCCTTACTGAATGTATCCTTAGAGAATCTTTCCTAGACAAAACTTTTTCTGCAAGCAAAAAAAAATATTTATTTAGATTTTAATGTAATTTATTAATACGCACTGTAGTTTAAGTGCCAAATAAAATGTATTGTGTATTGTGTAATGTGTAATGTGTACCTTATTTTTCTCTAAATTCTTTCTTGTCCCTTTATCTTTCCCACTCTTTAACACTTTTTTTGTTATTTTAAATCACCAAATTCACATTTTATTAACATGTACAACACAACTGATAACTGTTCACTATCCTAGACGTTGTACATATGTAAAGATATATTGTACAGATATATAATTACTTTACGTCACTGTACAGTACTTTGCTGTACTGCTGTATTAAAACTACTGATCTAAAAAGTATAATTTTGTACTTTACAGAGATCCTAGTTCATACACAGTCAACAGACAACTGAAGATCTTCTCGATCTTTATCCCCAACCTCCCACTACGCGCTCCAAGCGCCTATCAGTGAAGTATGGTCCTGTTTACAAAATAGCTCTCCGCTTAGTACTACTGAGCACAAAATTACAAATATTGAAGTACGTCTTGAAAACTTAAAACACATGATAGTGGCATGGACAATATCCTGTATACGCCCTTGGAGGATTGAAGAGGAGAATTTGCCTCAAACTCAATGTTTTTTAATATTTCAAACTTTGTCTGCTTGTTTAAGCAACCAGAGCTGAAAACTTTAGAATGAGATATCCTTAATCCTGATCGCTTAATCTGAGTATCCAACGTACACACTTTTGATTTTATTCTTAATCCTCTTTTTGGATATCCCTACATGTATAAAAGTTACGTTTGATAACAATTACAGACACATGCTATATCGATTGGACTAATATCCGATTGAATTAAAGTCAACTGTTCACAAGCCGGCTTTTAGAGCATTTAAGCAAATATAAAATTAATCATGTTCATATGAACTTACTAAAAAAATATTTTTTAGGACCATCATCATTTTAAACGTTAGTCTTAACAAACAATTAATCCAAAACTTGCATTTATTTAATCGATGTTTATCCATCATTCTAAAGTTTTCAGCTCTGTTGGTTTGAACTTTGATATTTCAAATTTTGAAAAGTACTGAGAAAAGTACTTTAGTTTGAAATATAATAAGTATACAACAAGTTGAATAGATATAAAGCTTTAGAAAATAGATTCTTTATAATTTTTTTTTGAAAATCTCTAACTGACCAGTTTGACCTTTAATTTTGCATGAAATGTTTTTCTGTTGAAGTTAACTACTTTCTAACTGAATAGTATAAATACAGAAATAGACTTTCAGAAAAACTGACAAATCTATTTTTTTATTTGAAGGACGTATGTCTAGACTTGATAAAAATTCTATGACATTTATGTACAAACAACTTATTGGCATTTTCTCTAAATGTCACAAAAAAATTTTTTTTTCTGATATTCATATTTACGTTGTTTTTCAATATCAATCTCTATTCCCAAATCCAAATATCATTCTTCATTCCCAAAATCAATCATCAATATTAAACTTTATTCCAAATATCCAAATATTAATCTTTATTTCAAATATCAAACTTTATTCCCGATATCAAACTTAATTCCTAATACCTAATATATTCCCAATATCGAACTTGATTACCAAAATCAAACCTAATTCCTAAAATCAAACTTGTTCTCGATATCTAATATATTCTCAATATTTAATCTCTTCTTAATATCTAATCTATTTTCAAAAACTAATATATTCCCAAAATCTAATCTATTCTCAATATCTACTATATTCCCAATATTTAATGTATTCACATTATCTAATCTATTCTCAATATCTTATCTATTTAAATATAAATAATATATTCTCAATATCTAATCTCTTTTCAATATCTAATCTCTTCTCAATATCGAATCTATTTACAATGTTTAATCTATTCTCAATATCTACTATATTCCCAATATTTGATATATGCACATTATCTAATCTATTCTCAATATCTTTTCTATTTAAATATATATAATATATTCCCAATATCTAGTCTATTCTCAATATCTAATCTATTCTTAATATCTAATCTATTCCCAATATACAATCTATTCCCAATATCCAATCTATTCTCAATATCTAATCTATTCTCAATAACTAATCTATTCACAATATCTAATCTATTCCCAATATCTAATCTATTCCCAATATAAAATTTATTCCCAATATGTAATCTATTCCCAATATCTAATCTATTTCCAATATCTTATCTATTTACAATATCTAATATATTCCCAATATCTTATCTATTCCCAATTTCTAATATATTCACAATATCTAATCTATTCCCAATTTTAATATTTTTCCAGGAGAAAAACAGTTCTAAAATGATTAAAGATTTTATTCATGAGAAAGACCCAAATTTTTACATTTAATTGCATATTTCATTAAAGCACTCAACTAAATTAACCTCCTCATTTAAAAATTACCCGAATTGCGCCTCATAGAAAATTACGTACAATACATGGATAAACTTTTGTTTAAAAGATCATATTTTCAGAAAGAGAATATTTGGTATTTTCACAATATTGCGGACAGTAAAGGCCAACATTTGAATGTCCACGTCACACTACAAACTAGATTGAAGAACAAGGTCAATATTTGCAACATTGCTGGAACAGCTTTGAAACCCTGGACCTCCTCTAGTTTTCACATTTGCAAAAACATGAGAAAAGCAAATAGTTGCATAATAGAAATTAGAAACATTTTTCTTCTTTAATAATAAAAATTAGATTGAAAGCATATTGGTTTTCAATGTAACATAATTTACATAAGTTTAGCGTGGTCTGTCTCTTATAAAAGTATTCAGAATAAGGTTGAATAATAATAGGGCATACATAAAACCTGGATCAGTGTATTCACCAGTTCTCAGCGGGAGCTTGGAAAGGTAAGGAGGAAGAAAAAATCATCAAAGGTTGGTACTTTTGGTTGATAAAGATTAAATTAGTGCGATGTGTAAGAGAAACTTTTGATTTGAAGGAAATAATTCTTTTGACTTTCCATTGGGCGACAAACCTTTCCATGGTTGAACTATAGAAACTTTAGAGATTTAGCAAATGATTTAACTAAAAGTAAAATAATATTCCGACCTTAGATAGTTTTTTATTGTAACACTAAATTTTTAGTCTTGATATTACTTTTTAAAAAGTTCAATTGCAAATTTTTGAATATATTTATAACAATATCTGTATAACACTATATTTATAACAATAGCATTAATAACAATATATTTATATCAATAGCATTTATAACGATATATTTATAACAATATAGCATTATTGATTTCAACTTTCAACTTTACTATTTGTTTAAATAACGGACAGTAACAGTAAACCCCGTAATGTAAATATAAATATTGGAAGGGAGTTTCAGGGATTCTATTTTTATGAATATTTTTGAAGGTATTATTGTCAAAATGTCATAAGATTTGTTAAAATTGCAAAAGCAAAGGAGATTTTACTGTAAAATAAATACCCTTGCCAAAATTTTATTGATTCGCAGATCCTCTGTATATGTACATTTGTAGGAACTTGAGCGGGGCGAGAGTAATCAGGTGATTAGTTGATTGGTTGGTTAGGTGATTAGTTGATTGGTTTGTTAGGTGATTAGTTAATTGATGGTGGACGGCTCATCTACTCCATCACATAGTTTCAATAAATTAATTTATTTCAAACCCATAAAATAAAGTTTTAGTGGAAATAGTTATAAGTAAGGCATTACTTACTAGTTGGGTGTGTTAGGGGGTAATTAAGGAGTGATGGGTGATGGTTTAGTTTAAAACATTTGGATAATACTTCTGAAAATAAAATTGTAAGTAAAATTGCTATGGATTGCAAAGTTATTAACAGAATTAAGAATTCACTAGTAATAACGTTTCACTTGTTCAATTTGTTTCACTTTGTCGCAGAACGTAGGTAGTGTCGGAGAAATTGTTTGGTTTTGATTGCTTCGAGATAGGGTAGGGGGGTAAAGCGACATTGTACGGAAAAACATTTATGGGCAACAACATTGTAAACTAAGGTGTCCGCTGTCCAGTGTCCATGGATGACCAATTTTTGAAAACAGATGCGTGTGGTAGCTTTTCCCATTGCATATGTACTGTGCGCACTAATATAAATTTTCAGCTCAGTATCTTTCCTTAAATTTATCATGTCACAAACATTAATTTTCTTTGAAATTATCTAAAACCATTGAAATTGTAGAAATTTTTGAAAAAATTAAAAAATTAACTGATGCGGTAAGTTCAAAAACCTCGAAAAATGTAATTTTCAAAAACGAGCATATTTGACGATTTTTGAGCCAAACTCATTTATTTTTGATATTTTTATCAAAAATTCCGACGAATCTGAGTTCCATGATTGAAATCGAAAAAATTGTTGTGAAACATAATGATTTCATGAAATTTTATTTTATTTTAGTTTTTTTAACAGATTTCACCAAATTGATTATCAAGTACAATAGGTGGCAACAGAGAAATGGACCAATTATACACGACGTCACAAGTGTCAAATATAACAAGGAAACAAAATATTCATACACTGGTTGACATGTTTTCCAAGATCAAATAAAAAGTGCAGCAACAGAGAATAAAGAATGCCATTTTACTGTCAAATAAGCACTCCATTCTAAAATTGTCACTATTATTCTTAGTTTTTTGGACACAAAAACTAAATTGACACTTGTGACGTCAGACTACAGCTGTATTGAGAGTGTACAAATTAACTACGTTGCCATATATTTGGTTTTTACCGAAAGTAGGACCATATCAAGAAAAGAACTGAACGTCATTAGCTTTTATCTTCGAATTTGACGATGTAACGTTCAAACTCTGCAAAATCAAATACTCTAAGTTTGAAATACCATTTCAAGAGCAATTTTTCTTCCAATACTTTGATATTTTTTTTTGCAATTAATTATACATATTCACGTGTCCTGCTTTTTTAAAGAATGTTAACTACTGTACTTTATACATCTTGTACTGTATGTGAACATAAGCTGTACATTATGAGAAATAAATCAGAAATAAACTGTTTTCCTGAATCTGAGATAAATATGAGGAAGTCCGGTTTTGCTTCCGATTTATATTCGGTTTTGCTGGAGGATATACGGAGCACTTACAAAACCTTTCCCCACAAATCGTTTCCTAACAAAACATTTCCACCACAAAACGTTTCCTAACAAAACATTTCCACCACAAAACGTTTCCCAACAAAACATTTCCACCACAAAACGTTTCCTTTACAAAAATTTGTCTATACAAAATCTTTTCTTTTCAAAACGTTTCCTCTACAACATATTTCCTGCAACAAAACGTTTCCTAAGATTACATTTAAACAACAAAACGCTTCCTCCACGAAATGTTTCCACACAAAAGTTTCCCAACAAATGATTTCCACTACAAAACGTTTCCTGTCACAAAACGATTCCTGCCAAAAAACGTTTCCTGCACAAAATGTTTCCTTTAAAAAATTTATCTCCACAAAATGTTTCCTGCCACAAAAAGTTTCCTCACAAAACATTTAAACCACAAAACGTTTCCTGCTACAAAACTTTAAACAAAACATTACTTTCATCAAATGTTTCCTCCCCAATATATATTCTCTGTCACAAAATGTTTCCTGCCACAAAACTGTTGCAACCTTTAAAAGTCTTTTCCTTCATCAATATATGTATATAGGAAGTGTTTTATGCCAGGAAACATTTTGTGAGTGCACCGGAAATACAGAGTTTATGACTGAAGATGGGGAGACCTCATGCATTTCCTTTCTTCCTCTGGTTTTTCTCCTTCATTTTCTGTACCCAGGGGGAAACTCTGACCGGATTTCATCTCCTTGATAATAAGGTAGGGTATAAGGTAGGGTATACATGTGAGAAACCGCCAAAAAAGTTCTCTGAAAAAAAGATTTCTTAAATTTTGGCACTAAAAAGTCCTAGAAATAAAAAGTATTTGAAAATATAGTCTTTACATTTTAAACTTTATTTTCGAGGAAAAATCTCCCAGGAATCTAAAATTCATGAGTTTATTTCCAGTGACATTTTGTCCGAGGACTTCCGAAAATTGGGACTTTTTTTACTAAATTTTTTGTTTCTAAGTTTTTTTTGGCCAGAAACTTTTTTCCTGTGACTTTCTTAATATATATATATTCATAAAAGTGAGCCCCCCCCCCTCCAGAAAAAAAAGATTGAGCCCCCATCCCCGGAGTATTAGACAGTCACTTTAAAAGTTCTTTTTCTTGTGAATTTCGAGATATCCATGTTTTTTTATTAAAAAATGGGCTATTTCATATGTGGTTTATATGAAAGTGACTTGCGGATTTCTTGCTGCAGAAACTTTAAGAATTATAGACATTTTAAGCTAAAAAAAACCATATCTTTTTGAGCAAAGAAAGGGTTTAAGAATATCGTGTTTAATCGGGTATACTCTTCCTTAAACTTACATAACAGTTCCTTGAAGCAGTAAAAACAAAATTTTCTAAATAGCTATTTTTATTTCAATTGAATATTGTTTTGAAAACTTTACAATTTGAGCGATAAGTTGCTATTTTTTATGGAAATGTTTACATTCATCGCGTCCTAACTATAGATAAAGATAGATTGCGCATAAGACGACATTTTTCATCTTGAAAGATATAAATGTACAGAGATGTTTTAAAGATATTCCTATTATATAGATTAACTAGGTCGGTTGTGAACATTGGCATGGCTGTTCATATGTTATTGAGTACTTGTGGTGTACATGAGTTCTGTAGAGAGAAATTTAAGTTAGTTTAGTCCTTCTCATGTCCTTCTTCAGTTCTCGTCAATATGATATATTGCTCAGTAAAATATTGTTGTTCAAATAGTTCCATTCCCGGAGTTATTTAACACTCTATTATGAAATCCATTAAAACACCAAACCACCCCGCTTATCATTGAAGTACACTTTGACCCCTAGGAGTATGAGTTCGCGGACTGTACAATTCTTGGTGATTTTGCGTACATAAGCTATCTATGTTTATTTATTTATCTATGGTCCTAACTAATGTTTACATCTATCACTTCCTAACTTATGCTAACATCTATCACTTCCTAACTAATGTTTACACCTATGGCTTCCTAACTATGTTTACATCTATCGCGTCCTAACTAATGTTTACATCTAGTGCTTACTAACTAATGTTTACATCTATCGCTTCCTAACTAATGTTTACATATATCACTTCCTAACTAATGTTTACATCTATCGCTTCCCAACTAATGTTTACATCCATCGCCTCCTAACTATGTTTACATCTATCGCTTCCCAACTAATGTTTACATCCATCGCCTCCTAACTATGTTTACATCTATCGCTTACTAACTAATGTTTACATCTATCGCTTACTAACTAATGTTTACATCTATCACTTCCTAACTAATGTTTACATCTATCACTTCCTAACTATATTTACACCTATTGCGTCCTAACTAATTTGTGTACTATAAATATGGATATGCTTTTCCCTAACATTACAATATCTTCCACATTTGATCATTTGGTTTTTGATATTCCGAAATATGCTAAAATATAAGAATGAAATAAGAATAATGTAAGAAAGAAATAAGACTCATGAAAGAATGGTTTTACAAATGTTTTAATTTAGTAATTAATTTCGGTTCTTTTCTTTTTAAATTACAGTTCAATTTTCAAAAATTTCGATAATTAAGAAGTAAAAATGATTAAGAGCAAAGAGCTTTGCAATATAAAGAGTAGGCATTGGGATTTAAACGCAAAACCAGACGCCTCAATTGGGTTCAATAAGAAGCCATAGAATATCGTCTTTTCTATGATTTAAAAATTTTAGAACTTTTCAATTTCCATCACCTGAAACTTGCGTTTTTTTACGTAATTTACCGTTAGAAATGCAAAACTTTATATCTTTTTAGATAAACTTTATCTTAAAACAGATTGCAATGTAATTGGTTTAAAATATTTGGCAACTTAAAACCAAGGTTTTTTCGTTCCTTGCTCACGTTACTGGCCTAAAATTTTACATTAAGACTGTTACAAAACTATACTTAATGACATCTAATAAATGTTGTTTTAAAATATGTAATATTTTTCATACAAATGAGATGCGTAACAGAATCACAATATTAGCTTAATTTTAGCAGGAGAGCACCTACAATGATTAATTTATTTAATAACTAGAGTTGATTGTTCGAATTTAAAATTTAAAGTGTACAGAGCGTACACACTATTTCGGATAGATTCTACTATTCTATCGTCTTAGATTAAGAGTAATCCGAAATATAAGATTATGAAAAAATATAAAAGAATTTTCTAAAGTAAACTATTTACACCTGTTAAAGCTCTAGTATTAATTAAATAAAACCAGTTCTAAGATTGTAATTTTAATGGACAACGCAATTTTTCTGCATGTCAGCTTTTAACCTAATTTCGAAACCGGTATAATTCCCCTTAATATTACTTTTTTATAACTTGTAGCTCGAGACCAGGTTTGCTCCTGAACAAGGATTGCTTACAACAACAACAACTGTTGCAGTACCAAAACAGGTCTATAAACAAATATTGCAGTGCCATTAAATAGGATTATAAACAAATATTGCAGTACCATTAAACAGATTTATAAACAAATATTGTAGTACCATTAAACAGGATTGTAAACAAATATTGTAGTACCATTAAACCAAAGTGAATAAATACTAAAGTGGACCAAACTCATGGTTGGATGACGACATTTTATGTCCCAAGTATTTAGAAATTTGTATATATATATATATATTGGTCTGTATACGGAGTGTACAGTAACTGGACTCCCTTTGTTTACAAACACAGACTTAGAATTTGTATTTAACTTAAATATAAGTTAACGTAAATTAAGATTTCAGAAGTGAATTTTAGCCATTTTACTGCACAATAAATGATTTCAGACAACGCACAATAATGCCTGCAAGCATAATCTGTAAAACAAGGAATGAAAAATTTGTGATACCGAAAAATGAAGATCTTCGAAATATATCTCACTTTTGTATTTTGACAGATTTAAGAGTGGTTAAGAACTATTAGACATAGTTTTAAAGATATAAGAGAGCAGTCATTGAGAAATAGACATAGTTTTAAAGATATTACGAGAGGCGTATTCAGGTTTTTTTTTCCCAGGAAGGGCTTACAATTCTTCGTCTTTTTAGGGGGGGGGGGGAGGCCAAAACTCCCCCGAAAAGAATATATTTCACTAGTCCGAAAAATGAAGATCTTCGAAATATATCTCTTGGTCTTCGCTTTTGTATTTTGACAGATTTAAGATTGGTTGAGAACTAGACATAGTTTTAAAGATATTAAGGGCTTACATTTCTTTTTCTTTTTGGGAGGGGGGAGGCCGAACCCCCCCCCCACTGATCCAGGAGGGGGATGAGCCACCATAGCCCCCCCTGTATATGTTTCTGGATGATAACATAGATCTGTTTTAAGAAATTTACAAACATATTTCAAAATGGAGTGAGATTTGAAACAAAACTAATCAGTTTTAAAGATAAATAATAAATTCCTTTAGAATTAGAAGTGCCAGGCAAAATCAATGAATTGATTAAGCGACTAAATAGTATTTACATACAAACTACATAGAAACGTACAAAAAATTTTGATTTTAAATCGTGAAAATTTCGAAGTTCTATCTGAAGACGACGTTTACACGGGTCTTTAGTCTATTTTTTTCTAGTCTTTACTTTCCAAACGAAATCTTTTCATGAAATCATTTCCAAACCAAATAAAACCTTATGGCCCAACCTGTCGTCGTTTCCTTAGTCTGTTCCACTTTAGTATTTATTCACTTTGCATTAAACATGTTTATAAACGAATATTATAGTACCGTTAAACAGGTTTATAAACAAATATTACAGTACCATTAAACAGGTTTATAAACAAATATTGCAGTACCATCAAACAGAAATTTTAAACGAATATTGCAGTACAGTTAAACAGGTTTATAAACAAATATTGCAATACCATTAAACAGGTTTATAAATAAATATTGCAGTACCATTAAACAGGTTTATAAATATATATTGCAGTACCATTAAACAGGTTTATATACAAATATTGAAGTACCATTAAGCAGGTTTATAAACAATATTGCAGTACTATTAAACAGGATTGCAAACAAATATTGTAGTACCATTAAACATGTTTTAAACAATATTGCAGTACCATTAAACAGGATTGCAAACGAATATTGCAGTACCATTAAACAGGTTTATAAACAAATATTGAAGTACCCTTACACAGGGTTATAAACAAATATTGCAGTACCCTTAAACAGGATTGTAAACAAATATTGCAGTACCATGAAACAGGATTGTAAACAAATATTGCAGTACCATTAAACAGGATTGTAAACAAATATTGCAGTACCCTTAAACAGGCATATAAACAAATATGGCAGTACCATTAAACAGGGTTATCAATATATAAATTTGGCTTGTCTGTCTGTTTGTTTGTTTGTCTGTCTGTCTGTTTGTATCCAATAAACGTCAAAACGGCTGAACCGATCGGGCCCAAATTTTTTGTGTGACATCTAGGGGGAAGGTTTATGAATGATTGAAATTTTAAATATTTGTCTACATCGAAATTCGATCTCCATTAAATTTTTTAAAATTTTGAAAATCCACGAAATTTTTTGTGAAAATTCGCGAATTATTTTTGTTTCGTTTTACGATGCACACAAAGAGAACATGTTCACAATTAATTTAGAAGATGGGCGCAAAGCGCCTTCTAAGGCTAGTAAACAAATATTACAGTACCATTAAACAGGTTTATAAACAAATATTTAAGTACCATTAAACACGTTTGTAAACAAATTCTGCAGTACCATTAAACAGGATTTTAGACAAATATTGCAGTACCATTAAACAGGTTTATAAACAAATATTGCAGTATCATTAAACGGGTTTATAAACAAATATTGCAGTACCATTAAACAGGATTATAAACAAATATTACAGTACCATTAAACAGGTTTATAAACAAATATTGCAGTACCATTAAACAGGTTTATAAACGAATATTGCAGTACCGTTAAACAGGGTTATAAACAAATATTGCAGTACCATTAAACAGGATTATAAACAAATATTGCAGTACCATTAAACAGGTTTATAAATAAATATTGCAGTACCATTAAACAGATTTATTAACAAATATTACAATACCATTAAACAGGTTTATAAGTAATATTGCAGTACCATTAAACAGGATTGTAAACAAATATTGCAGTACCATTAAACAGGATTATTAACACATATTTCAGTACCATTAAACAGGTTTATTAACAAATATTACAGTACCATTAAACAGATTTATAAACAAATATTGAAGTACCATTAAGCAGGTTTAAAAACGAATATTGCAGTACCAAAACTGTTTTAACAAACAAATATTTGATAAAAGAAAAATTGAAATAATCGAAATTATTGAAAGGATAATAATCATAATAATAATTATAATAATAATACTAAAAATATTCATAATAATAATGATTATAATAATTATAATAATAATAATACAGCTAAACCTTAAATATTAAATACATGGATAGAATTTATGAAATGTCGTCTTGACAATTTTTCAATGGGTTTTATATTCTTTTACGTAAATCTCAGTATTTGCGAAATCAAATAAATAGTTATGAATATGCAGGAACTGTTCTAAAGCTCCATATAATCATTTAATTAAAACACTAAATATCTGCAACATTCCATTATTAGTAAGTTAAGAATACGACATTTAGATGGATAGATAGATAGATACATATTTGATAAATTCTTTACATGTTTTTTAAATTTAGGGTTTAACAGTATTAAAATAAAAATGATAATAGCAATGTAAATTATGATAATTTTAACTACAATTAATTAATTAACAATAAGAGTTAGTAAGAATCATGAAAAAAATAACAAAATTATTAGCAAAACAAAAACAATTGTCATAATTTACAAAATTCTAAAAATTTAAATGATTTTTTTAATAAAATGTGTTTGGTTGCAGCTGAGCTTCTGTATCTGGATCTATGCTGAGTTTAACAGATTTGGAGATCAGATTCCAGTAATAGAATTCTTCAGGCTGAATGAAACTGGGCCACCCTTTATAGCCCTCATGTGTTAGTATTTTAGCTTACCTTCTTATATACAGTGGATAAATTATTACATAGTGTCCACTGTTTTATGAACATCATCTTCATTTCTATTGCATTCTTAAGTAGAAAATTAAATTCAGTAGAAATGTTAATAATTAAAAGAAAAATTTGATTTCAGATCGGAAGGATGAAACTACAAATCCTAAGATTACTATAGATGGAGTTTCTTCCTGGAATTTTAAGGTTAAGCTGGACCTTAACAGAATTCATTTTTTGTAAGCTTTAAGCTTTTTCTGATTATGGATCAAGGAATGTATAAAATTTGTTCATCAATCCAATGTTTTTTTAAGAGTCTGGATTCTAAGGAAGCAATAATTTTATGTGTACAAATCTCAATCATGCTACAGGATGTCCTTTCAATAAACAGGCCACCCTGTATGTGAAATATTTTTTTTAAACTAAGATCTTTTGTCTATAGAATGATGTTGTGATGGAAAGGAAATGGAGCCATCTATGTGTCGGTATTGATATAGAGGAAAATACCCTGATGATGTATCAAAATGGAGTGTCAGATTTTCATCCCATCAGCTTTTCAGCGTAAGATATCCAATGAATCATTTTTGTCAATTACTACAATGTCAACTGGCATAAATCGGTAATAGTGTTCAGTAAACCTAAATACGCTAAGTTGTTAAAATTTGATACTTTCTGGTAATTTTTTTCTTCGCTGTGTACTGCTGTTGCATTTAGTTTCAGCAATGTACATTTCTGTTACAGGTTACAGGTTAGAATACATTATGGATCACTTATTCATTACATTTAAAGTGTAATTTGTAAAAGAGAACTTACTTTCATTATTCTTTTCTTTCAGACCACTAAAGAACAGACTCTCTAATAACACTGAGCTTCCAATGGTAGTTCGTCTAGGTAAATTGGAAGCATATGTGATGTTTATTGTGTAATTTATAAGTAACTATGGTACTGACATTTACCTTCCTAGGCCCTAAGCTCTTCCCCCCCCCCTCCCCATTTGCTGATAAAATTCTGTCAAATATTGCATGCGCTCAAATAAAAAAAAATCCAATTCTGTCTCTAGGGTCCACAGTCATTTTTTTCGTTGTAATTTTAGGACATTACTATTTTGACTCAAAACCTTTGATTGGGAAGATTGCTGGAGTAAATGTTTGGGATATCAAGTTGAGGTAAGTTAGTTTTGCATCATTGCATGGTAGTAATTAGGGACTCTGCAACTATGCTCCTCTTAGAGGAGGTCATCAATCGACTTTTTTGATGTAACACATTGGAACAAACCATCCCTGGTTTTAATGGGGCTCATGAAGTCTAAATATGAAAAAAAATTGGGGCCATCAGTCTTCTTCGAATTACATTTCTCATTTTATAGTTAACATGTAAGCCAAAATTTCCCAAAAAGCATTTTTTTACATATCTATTCAGTTTAAAAGTTTAAGTAAAATTTGTAAGACAGAGACCCCCCTCCAAAAATTCCAAATACACATTAAAGGCTTTCTTGATTTTTTGAAAGGTCAAATATTTCAGAAGATGCAGGTAGTTTAAAAATAAAGTATTTGCCTTTTTGGATCTTTTAGCACCTAGATTTAAGCATGATTAAATTAAGTTTTAAAATAATGCTACTGATTTTCTAAATCATAAAAGTCCTTAAAGGAGATAATTTGTCGATGATTACCATTTTCAGAAAATGAAGATGACATTTAATTTCATAACTTCTTATGAGAATTATTATTTGTTTAATTGGCAAATATTATGATAAGTTGGTAGATCTGAAGCTGGGAAGGGTTTATGCGTGCCCCCAAACCTTTTTAGAGCCTTAGCTCCAGTTTTTTCCTTCATTTGTAACTCGTGAACCAAAGCAAACCAAACCAAAAACAAAACAATACAGTGCAAGTTATGCCGCAATATGTTATATTCTGAAAGGAATGTCGTCTTCACGTAATTTTTGTAATTTAATGTTGAATTTAAAGATTTTTTTAGAAATCAATTAATTTTTGAAAGTCATTTCGCAAATTATTTTGCATACCCTCCTTAATTTTGTTAACAACAATCTTCTCTAACACCTATCTCATAAAATAGAGGGAATGTCCACATTTCCTCACACAGGGAATTGGTGGTAGCCTTCTGCATTAATTATTTGAGATTTCTGTCTGATTTTTTTAATGCAGACCTTAATCATGATTTTGTTTTAAATCAAATACCAATATGGTGAGAAATAAAATAACTCACAAATTTTTGGAAAATTTTTCAAAAACTTTGAGCTAAAACTGTCAGCTAAAATCAAACAGAAGTTAAAAGACCCATTTAGACATATAACATTATTAAGAGTTAATTTTTATGTTAATAGTGATGAAGAGCTAAAAGAGTACTCAAATTGTAATTCTGTGGTCCAACTTAATGGAAATATAGTAAACCAATCAACAGTGTGGAATATTACAGGAAAATATTTTTATATTATAATTTTAAAAGTATTTATTAAGGTTATTCATCAATGTTAAAAGAACTTCATATCATGGTAAAGATATCATAGAATTCTTATTAAAAGCTTTCCAGCTAAGGTTTGAAATTATTTCTGATCATTTTTGTTCAAGCAATTCTTAAATTTGGTAAACTTTAGATGTGATCATGTATTAGTGAACGTTTTACAGGACGCTTTATAGAAAGGAGAGAGTTTAGCAAGTCTGAAATTGAATGTTCAGATCAAAACAAACATAAAACTGTATTTGTTACATCACTTTTCAAAAATTTTGAGGATGCAAATGAAGCTTGCGATAAATACAAGCTGAACAGTATGGCAGCTGAGTTTAAGGTAAAACTATTTTTTTCTATAAGTTACACCTTTGCATTAGAAACACGGCATGAGTATTGTTCTTTTGCAATACAATTTCCAAGTTTGAACAATTTTGTAATAATTTTGTAATTGCAACCCTATAAACTCTGTGCAATTCCGTGCAATTCCTCACAATTCCACACAATTCTGTGCAATTCCTCACATTTCAAAAACAGTTGCGCGCAATTCTGTGCAACAGAATTTTGATTGGAAACCCTACTCTCAATTGGTAATAACATTTTCTAGAATTATACACTTTGTGCTAAGGATATTTGTTTAGAGTCTTGAAGAGTTCCGAAAATACCAAGATGAAGGAACTAGTAATCCTGCTGTACTATCTGAATGCTGGACCGGGGGAAGATTACTTCATTGGTTACCTTATTCAGCAGATGCTAAAAACAAGGAATTTAGATGAATTAGATTGTTTTCTAAATATTTTGGATTGTCTGAATTTACATTAAAGTACTGTATCTTTAAAAAAAATTTTAAAAATTATATATTTGGGTTATTTGAGCTAACAATTAAAATATCTTATTCTTTTTCATTCAACTTTAAAATCTTAAATTCAACTTCCTAATACTTAAATTCATTATTAACCCTCTAGTCACTGACACAAGAAGATTTCAGTCATGTCCATAGCAAGGAACCGTTAGCTGTAATGGCATGGCGACCTAATCAACCCAATGGGAAGAATCTGCAATGTGTTAAGGCATATTTAAGTAAGTTTTTCAATTCTACATCAAGATGAACTTCAGTTTTAACATATTGTTTCCATTTAAAAATGGTATGAAATAAAGTAAATCTAATGTCTAAAGCTGATGTGAGTAAATCTACAGAGTATAGATTTAACCCTTTATCTGTTTTGATCGGATAAAGTTCTTTGAGAGCCACAATTTAAAATAATCAAAATGTATGTACAAGTAAAAAGAGAACAAATAAAATGATACTAAGCTATAGCTCTCTGGCATACTCTCCACCTTTCATTTGCCATGTACTATGAAATAATCTTCTGTCTTCCAAACCTTTGTGAATTTTAGCCCAGGCTGATCCTATTTCCTCCTGCCTCGTGTCAATCCTTGTTTCAAGTCTATTGGCTTGAATTTAAAATAGAATTCCTGGTGGAACGGTGGTTTTGGTTTTCCACACGTTTAAATCTTCCACATATTCAAATCATGTTAAAAGCATGTTTTCTGGGCTGGAATTTTTAACGGTTCAATATACATGAGGCAACTTATCATCTGTCCTACTGCTGTCGTTGACTACAGTTTATTTAATGGTAAGCCTCTTTCCATGCTTATCCCATCAGACAAGAGATGTCCCCAACAAACAAAAACCTGTGAAAAACACAAGATCATTTGGTGCATTATACCAGACAAAAGTCTGGTAGGTGGGAAGGTACCTAAATGCATAATTAGCACAACTAAAGATACAATTATTATTGTATATTTTATTCCAATTGATAAAAAACATTGCCGAATATAAAGTGTATGTGAACCCCGCTAGATGGTATGCGGGACTAAAGTATATTCTCCAACCCCTTCTTTAAGTACAGTTAAGATATTCTTCCTGGTTTAACTTGGTTCCTGCTTTACCTATGCATTATTGAACTTCAAACAGTATTTCACATGAGTGACCCGTCAACATCCTGTGATAATTCATGTGTTGTCAAGGTGAATGTCAACCATTTGATCACGGGTCTAGGGCCGGGTTTTTGCAAGGCATGAACCCGTGATTTAAAATGTAATTCTCGTGCTGTACACGGGGGCTTTCAGCACAGTTTTGAACTAGTCATACAGGTTGCTTAAAAATCCCTTAAATATCTTGTGCTAAACAGAAGAGATATAAACATCTTGGGGAATTATCCCGTGTATTACACATGCTAAATACAGGTCGCATATAAATCCCATAAACCTCTTGTGTGAAATAGACGAGTCAAAAAAATCTCGGTAAATATATCAGTGGCTTACACATTCTGAGTTTGGGAATTCTGTTGGGATTTAAACATGTACAGTTCACGTGCCTCAATCTTGAACAAAAAGATGAAAAAATGACTAATATCCTAAATGTATTTATTTCTTTGAAGAAAATATCACAAAATTTTCTATATTAGAAAGGGGGTGTAGAGCCTACAGCCCCACCCTTGTTGTGCTGGTTCTAAATTTATCACAGATAAACAAAAAAACTAGTTTAGTTAGTTTGGGCGCATTTAAAAAGAAGAAAAACTTTGTGCAAATCCTTTTCTTCGTTAGTCTGGGCGCATTAAAAAAGGGAAAAAACTGCTTAACAAAAATTAATATTAGGCTTGTTAACTTATACACTTGAATAATAACACTAGAGAGAAAGTATATACTTACCTATTGTTCTGTATAGAACACTAAATACTTACTAATTGTTCTGTAGAGAGCACTACTAAATACTTACCAAATGTTTTGTATAGAACAGTACTTCCCTATTATTCTGCAGAGAAAAGTATATACTTACCTATTGTTCTGTATAGAACACTAAATACTTACTAATTGTTCTGTAGAGAGCACTACTAAATACTTACCAAATGTTTTGTATAGAACAGTACTTCCCTATTATTCTGCAGAGAAAAGTATATACTTACCTATTATTCTGTATAGAACACTAATAACTTACTAATTTTTCTGTAGAGAACACTAAATACTTACCAACTGTTTTGTATAGAACAGTACTTACCTTACCAATTGTTCTGTAGAGAACACTATATTTACTTACCATGCCTTTGTTTTTTTATATTTAGGAGAACACATAAAGTGTAATGTTATTTACTGTAGAAAAGATTATTTATTCTTATTGTAAATATATATATACAATATATATAAAATTTCATTGGAAATACTCCATACTTAATAACAAAAAAATACCATTGATTATAACTAGCATTTGATATTAAATTTGCAATATAACTATAATTAAATTGTGATTTAAAAATCAAATAAATAATATAAAATGAGATACAGTGGTAGGCGATAATATAATGGAGACGTTTTTTTAATTCAAGTTTTATTGTTAACAAGTTTTTTTTCGAATTTTAAGGTTACATGTAATAAAAGAGAAGTTGTTTAAAAGCTTCTCTTTGATTCCTTTTATTTGCGTAGTCATGCTGTTATAAAGCTCGATATAAATCAAATTTAAACCATTTTCTTGGTATTATGGCACCACTGTATTATTTCACAATAGAACACTATATTCATCCATTAATTCCCATGCAGGCAACTTAATGATAACTTGTTTTATAAGCAAATGTGAAATTTGTTAAACTAAAGGAAACTAACAACTAACGCATTCACTGAAAAACTTCGTTGTTATTTTCCGTCAGTATAATTGTGAGGTGTAACTTGTGTGTGGACTAGGGCTGGGCGCATTCCTGGTAGAACGATCGTTCTTTCCCAAGAACGAACGGAACGATCAAGAACGATCCTATCATTTCGAAAAAAAACGAACGCTCAGAACGCGTTCTTAAAAATTTTGGAACGATTAGTAAAAGAACGGAACCAGGAATTGCTTGAAAAGAACGGTTAAAATTGTTAACGCGTTCTTATTTTCAAGAACGCGTTCTAAGTTGGGAACGCATTTTAAATCAGGAATGTGTTCTAAGTCANACCCCCAGGGTTCTAGGGGGGAGATAAATAACCCCAATAACCCCCCTTATTTACGCCACTGCAAGGATTTAATGCATTACTTTCTTGAGGAATGGGAGCTGAAAGGGGAAAAAGGAGAAGGGGGGGGAGAATTTAGGTTGAAAGAAATTGTTTTCAATAATTTATTTCAATTTCTTTTTGATTTTATTGAAATATTGATTATGAAAATCAAATATTTTTCAAAAATCTACAAATTGTACACCCCCTTTTCTAAGGTAACCCGGTTTTAGTATTCGTTCTATACTAAGAACCGAACGGGGGGATGGAAACGTTCTTTGACTAAGAACGGAACGAGAGGGATGGAACCATTCTTTAAATAAGAACGCCAAGAACGGAACAGAACGGGAAGACAGTTCTTCCACTAAGATTGGAACGGAACGGGACGGAACGGAATGTAACGGAACGATACAACAAAAAAGGAATGATATCGGAACGATTTATCTGAAGTCCCTCGTTCTAGAACGGAACAGAACGATTTCAAAAAAGTCGGAACGTGCCCAGCCCTAGTGTGGACTGTGGAGCATAGTGAGTAACTGGATGGTGTATTTTTGGACCTACTCCCATCCCCTCTACTGCCCATCTGACCTACAAACACGTGGATTTTACAGCTGTCGTAGGTCCGATGCACTGTAGGTTGGATGGGCAAGTTAAAAACAGCATATTTGTGTATCCAACCTTCTTTAGATTGTCCCTTGGACACATTAGTAGGTCGGATGGGCATTTTTCGTAGGTCAGTTAAAAAAACCACTTAGCTCCCACAGTAAAATCTGGTGGGGCTCAGCACAGTGCTGCTTCAAACATTTGTTTGAGAGTATTAAAATTGATAATCATCTCTGTACTCCAGGTCAGCGTACATTTGTTTTTTAATTCATTTAGGTTTGCTGTGATCTCAGCAAACCCAAGAAAAAACTCTCTTTTTTCTCAACTGTCATAAAGAACCATGAGCTATAATTTCTCCCAGGGCTAAATTAGTGTTGTTTCAGAAAGATTGGTTTATAAAATAGTTTAATACTAAGCTTTTTCCTGAGTCTTCTGTCTGTACACTCCTGCAACTGCACCAGTTAGGTCTGACTCGTTGACAGGAAAAACAGTCAGATTTCTGCTGAATTTCTGAAATTGTCTAAAAAGAGGGTTATAATGGAAAAATTTAAAATAATGAGCTGTGTATCTAAAATTAATTCAGTTTAAAAGGATATGATAGAGCTGACTACAAATTCAACCAGAGAAACATCATAGGTGTGTATCTGAAATTGTCTAAAAGGAGGGATATAATTGAAAAATTTAAAATAATGAGCTGTGTATCTAAAATTAATTCAGTTTAAAAGGATATGATAGAGCTGACTACGAATTCAATCAGAGAAACTAGGGCTGGGCGCATTAACGGTGGAACGATCGTTCTTTGGCGAGAACGAACGGAACGATCAAGAACGATCCCATCATTCCGAAAAAAAAACGAACGCCTAGAACGCGTTCTTAAAAATATTGGAACGATTAGTAAAAGAACGGAACGGAACGGAATGGGAATTGCTTGAAAAGAACGGTTAAAATCGTTAACGATTATACATTGCTCAGAATTATCTAAGCTTATTCTTTTAACCCTAAATTTAAAATATATAATTTAAAGTATTATTTACGGCCGTGAGGAACTTTTAATTTAAAAATTGTAATTTTTTTACTTTTTAACCAACTCTTTTCTATAAAACTTTTGTCTTTGATGTAATTGTCCGTTACTAAGAACAGAAGGACGGAAACGTTCTTAATTAAGAACAGAACAAGAGGGATGCAACCGTTCTTCAACTAAGAACGCCAAGAATGGAACGGAACGGGAAGACCGTTCTTCTACTCAGAACGGAACGGAATGGGACGGAACGGAACGAGAACGGAATGATAAAAAAAGAGGAACGAGAACGGAACAATTTAGCTGAAGGCCCTCGTTCTAGAACGGAACGGAACGATTTCAAAAAAGTCGGAACGTGCCGAGCCCTAAGAGAAACATCACAGGTGTGTCTCTGAAATTGTCTAAAAAGAGGGTTATAATTGAAAAATTTAAAATAATGAGCTGTGTGTCTAAAATTAATTTAGTTTATAAGGATATGATAGAGTTCACTTCTAATTCAATCAGAGCTGATAGATAGATAGAGCTGACTATGAATTCAATCAGAGAAACATCATAGGTGTGTATCTGAAATTGCCTAAAAGGAGGAATATGATTGAAAATATTAAAATAATGAGCTGTGTATCTAGTATTAATTCAGTTTAAAAGGATATGATAGAGCTGACTACAAATTCAACCAGGGAAACATCATAGGTGTGTATCTGATATTGCCTAAAAGGAGGAATATGATTGAAAACATTGAAATAATGAGTTGTGTGTCTAAGATTAATTCAGTTTAAAAAGGATAAGATAGAGCTGACTACAAATTCAACCAGGGAAACATCATAGGTGTGTATCTGAAATGGCCTAAAAATGTGCTTCTCATATCATTTTAGACAAATCTTTAAAATCATATATTGCAATTTATAAAAAAAAAAGTTTTATACAAACACAAAACATCCTGGCATAACACCCTGATTCTCTCCAGGTACATCTGAATGCTTTCGCCTGCGTTTTCTTTCATTCCTTGATTTATCTACTTAGTCCCTAAGACAACATGGTTGGGTCTTACATAGAGGACGCACATGGTAAGTAACAAATTAAGGAATGTATACTCGGGAGCTAAAGCCTCTATTTGTACATGCTGAGGAGTCTCTGCTTTGTGCTGGTAGAACAGCATTTGAAGATGATGGCTACTTGTGCGAGATTCGAAATGATGAAAGTGTGGTCAACGACTTAGATGCAAGACTGGCACCAGTGTTTAAGCGTTTTCTGCGAGAAGTCAATAACCGCCATCAATTTAATTTTATTTACTCACAAGCTTTACTTCCTTGTCGGGAATCTTCCCCCTTGGGAATTTAAGAAAACGGAGAACTCTCAGTGAAGGAGGGGTTTGCACGGGCCCAGGCCAATCTTATTTCCTCCTGCCTCGTGTCGAGCCCTGTTTCAAGCCCATTGGTTTGAATTTAAAATAGAATTCCCTGTCCAACAGGGGTTTTGGTTTTCCATGTGTTCAAATCTTCCACGCGTTCAAATCTTCCACACCTTCAAATCTTCCATGAGTTCAAATCTTACATGCATTTAAATCATTTGTTAAAAGCATGTTTTCTGGGCTGCCATTTTTTAACGGATAAATCTATCTACACAAAATACAATAGGCACCTTATCATCCGTCCCACTGCTATGGTTGACTACAGCTTATTTACAAGTAGGCCTCTCTTCATGCTAACAATATCTTTGTTTTTTAGGTTTGCAGTATGATGTGAGCTGGTAAGTAGGTTTTCATCTAAGGAATAATCATGCAAATGAAAATTTCAAGCCTTTCGGGAATGGATGTTATCCTCTTTCTGTACAACTCAGCTTAGTCATTATCAATCTCTCTCAACAACACCTTATTTGTTATCTAGTAATATTCTAGCAATCCAACTTTTTGTTTGTATTTATCCATAAAAAAGAATTACGCAGAAAATTATTGGGATCCATGGCCAAGAGACCAGTAGCAAATTAAATGACCCCTTCAAAAATGATTATCAAATCTATGACTAATTATAACCCCCCTTGGTAAATTTTTTATCTAGGTATGATTTTCCCTGTTTTAATCAAAATTTACAGTGGGCATCCTGCACTGCTTGCAAAATACCTCAGACTTTTGAATCCTCTATTGCAATTACTTTGAAGGGACTTTGTGAGTATACAAAGTTTGACACAAGTTATCAGGTATCAGAGAACCAACATTAGGACTATTTTTATTAAAACAGCTGTTAGTTTGATTAATTGAATGCTTAATTATTTGATACACTCTTCAAAAATTACGGGTAGGGGCAAATTTGGAAAAAACTGAATTTAAAAAAACTCATAAGTTGGGTGGGGGCAAAATGGATAAATGGAATTTTAAAAAGTTTACAGCAGAAAACATGGCCTTTATGGTTAAGGCTGTTGAAAAATTAATGGATTATGCGTTTACATACAGAAAAACAGATGATTTTCAAATTGTTGCAAAACAAAATAAACAGTTTATGTAATTGTGTTTCATTCAATTTTTCTAACCATTAACAAACAGATTGCAAAAAGTTGTCCAGTCCTAAGAAGTAGTTTATATAGATAAAATAATGGTCTATTTTAAAGGTCACAAATGATCCAAAAACAGGGTATATATCTTATATTGGAAAAAAATCCACTGTTATCAAATATGATTCTCAGGTAAATATTTTTGATGAAATTGACACTGTTATTGATAATTCATTTCAAAACAACCAATAATTTTATATATTTTTTATTATTATGGCTGACATGAAGTTATTTGATTTAGCAACGGTTGTGGATCATGTCAAATGTCAACAATCCTGACGTAAGAGCAACATCATCTGCGCTTCTTAAAACTTATGTAATGGGAACTCAGAACTGGACTATCAAGTAAATATTATGAAGTGTTAATAACATCAAAATCTATTTTTTTCTTTGTAGAAATGATATTGATTGTGAAGAACAAGAGTCTACATTGTTAACTTTATCAACATGTAAAGATGATGAATTTGCTTGCTCCAATGGACTCTGCATAGATATTGTGAAGCGTTGTGACAGTAAAACAGATTGCAGAGACAAAAGCGATGAGTTTGGCTGTCGTCGCATACAGCCAGATGAATCCTATCAAAAATTCATAGCACCGCCATTATATAAGCATCAAAATGTATCCAAGATTATAATTGAAGTCTCTGCAGACATAATGGACATTTTAGATATTGATGAAAAAGCCTCAATTTTTCAGGTTGCTAAAGAAATTTCTCAGATTTAAAGAGATAAATTTCATTCTTTAAATATAACAGGTACAGTTTTATCTTCATTTCTCCTGGTATGACGGACGACTTACATTCTTTGATCTGAGAAATGATTCTGGACTGAATAATTTGTCTCCTTTGGAAAAAAACCTTCTTTGGATTCCAGAACTTGTATTTGACAATACTGAGAACAAAGCTAAAACCTTGATAGATGATGAAGCCACTATTACAATTGAAAAACAAGGTGACTTCTACCTTTCTGGTCTAGAAGAATATACCAACAGAGAGTACTACAGGGGATCAGAGAATAAAATTACACTTTCTAGATTCTATAATACAAGGTAATTACACAATTAAATCCTTCTAACCTAATTTTAACTTGAATTTGTGTATTCTTGAAGGTTTTTGTGTCAGTACAACTTACAGTGGTACCCTTTTGATATACAGAATTGTCAACTTCGACTGACAATGTTTGGAAAATCAGGAGATTTTGCAACTTTAGGTTTCAAAATTTTAAAGATAAGAGATTATGAATTTAAAAAATTTCTTTGTTTTAAAACACTGACTAGTTTTAAAAAACTGATTAGTGTTAATTTGATTAATGTTCTTTTGTTTTTATAGAAGCACAGGTTCTGAACTTCTTTGGGAAAAGATTCTCTAAAGAGTTTGTAGTGGAGAGCTATTTCATGAGAATCTCTGAGACAAGAGGAGAAACAGAACTTGAGGAAATTATATCAAACCTAACTATAAAATATGCATTAGTTCATTTTACTTTTTAAACACTGAGAAAAATGTCCTGATGTAAAGTAAGGATAAAGCGTATGGCTAGATGCATATTGAGTATGAATTCTATAGTAATAATAAACACATATGCATTTTGCATACTTTTATATAAATAACTATTTTTCAAAGGTGAATTTTTCTTAATTTACAGAAAGCTTTTATTTATTTTACCAATGACTATTTGATTTTGATTAATACAGATGAATGTGATACTGGGTAGGAATTTAATTCCTATTGCCTTGAACACATACCTTCCATCTACATTACTGGTCATTATCAGCTATGTAACAGTCTTCTTTAAACCATTCTTCTTTGAGGCTGTTGTCACTGTGAATCTAACTACTTTACTGGTACTGGTTACTCTGTTTGTCAGTGTAAGTATTTCTTGTGATTAGAATTTAATCATTAATAAGAAAACAAAAATATGATAAATTTAAATTTTATTGGGCTGCTGTTACTGAAAAAAACATCAATTAGTGTCTATAGAGAGGGACCGTCCCTTTGCGCTCAAATTCTGAACGAAAAATCGGCTTTTTCTCCGGCCACAGATGTCTTTGAAAAGTAAGACTATTACCAATGAATAGCGCTTATGCTGTTTAGTTTACCCTGAAATTACCCAAACAAGTGAACGGTCCCTTTAATCATTAATAAGAAAACAAAATATTAAACAAGCTAAACATTTTGTAAAGATGTTCCGCTAAAGAGTGCAAGTTTCACCTAGAAATTTGTTAGAGTATTTACAATATTTAGTTCATAACTGGTTTCTGTTAAGGTAAGTAATAGCCTCCCACCAACATCCTACATTAAGATGATTGATGTATATCTGATTTTCTCTCTGTTAATTCCATTTGCTGAAGTACTACTAATTACAGTGATGGACTATCTAAGAATGTAAGAACTTTAACCATTGAATGGCAATTTTGTGTTATACAGAAAGAGATACTAATAGGGATGTTAACGTTTTCATTTTTCAGAAAAACGATCGTTTCGTTATGATAACGACGACGAAAAATAGAAATCGAAACGATCGTTTTTAAAAATGATCGTGTTATAAAAAAGTTCGTTTTTTTAAAATGGTCGTTTTTAAAACGATCTTTTTTCAAAACACTCGTTTTTAAAAATGATCGTTTTTCAAAAAGATTGTTTTTATAAAATTCGTCGTTTCGTTAACAATTGTTAACGACAACCCTATGTTAACGATTGTAAACAACGGACCTTCCTTAACGATCGTTAACGATGACCCTTTGTTAACGATCGTTAACGACAACCCTTTGTTAACGATCGTTAACGACGACCCCTTCGTTAACGATCGTTAACGATCGTTAACGAAGAGAGGAAACCGACCTGAAGGGCATCTGTACTTTTCATTGAATAGTTTTTAAGAAAATATCAAGGAGTTTTAACTCCCCCACAACTGTTAGACTTCATGTAAGACGACATTCAATAAAGTTGCAAGTATTTTTTTTCAAAAAACAACCGTTTTGATAAAGTTCGTCGTTTCGTTAACGATCGTAAAAGACAACCCTTTGTTAACAATCGTTAATGATGACCTTTTGTTAAATATCGTTAACGATGACCCTTTGTTAACAATCGTTAGCGACGACCCGTCGTTAACGATCGTTAACATAATTGTCAATAAAAAAATTTCAAAAAACGATCGTTTTTGAAAAACGGTCGCAAATCGTTTTGATAAAAATGATCGTTTTCAAAAACAATCGCTATTTGTTTTCTAAAAGTTCAAAACGAGTGGGTCATTCTTAAAAACGATCGTTTTTTTCCGAAAACTAAACGATAGTTTTTGAAAACGAAACAAAAAATGATCGTTTACAAAAATGATTAACAACCCTAGATACTAATATAAATTTTTTTTAACTTTTCCATTGTTTTTAAACATCAAACACAGAAAAGGTTGCACATACATTTATCATTTTAAAGGAAAGTTGAAAAGGAAGCTAACACTGACAGCCTTGATGATACTGAGGTAGTATTTTTCTATAAATTTCTATAGAAAATAATCTTTTAACCTTAAATGAAACTGCTTTCTCTGTCATGAGGCCCCTATTTAGCTTTACATTAGAACTTCGAAATTAAAAACTTATGACTCTTGCAGCTATTGAGATAAGAACTTTGGAGCAAAACACTGTCCAACATGATTTGCATGATAGCACAAGGTTTGCAAGCAACAACTTTTCTTGTGACACCTTGCTTATCAAAGCTAAATATTCATGCAATATTTTTCCCCCATATTTAACTAAAAAAGTGTAAAAACAAATGAAAAGTAATGTAAATTATGTAAATTCAATTGTAGGCTGGAAGGAAGGTAAATCATCATGGAAAGATGATAACTGTCTGTGAATGTCCAAGTCCAACACAAGAAAAAGGTCCAGATGTTACCAAATTTATGTTTCGTAGACCTTATTTTTTTAATTTATCCTAAAAATAACGAATTCTCATAGTGGGAGGGGGTTTATGACGTAAAAAAACTAGTCTGATTGCTAGATATTCCCATTGCTTTGGTGCTCACTTCTTACTTCCACACTGCTTATTCATATACCTAAAAGAAGCCAAAGAAAAAGTCCCAGTTTAGCAACTATTTGATTGCATCAATATTTTTTGTGAATATTTGTTGGTTATACTGAATACTATGCCAGTTTTGACTTTTGAAACAACCAATTTTGTGTTTGACATTTATGATAAAGCTATAATCACATGAATTATGAAAAATAGAATCTGCAATGATGACATTTATTGTCTGAAAAGGCATTTTTGCGCTAGCTGTTTTGCCTAATACTTTTATGCCCATACACTTAACTAATTGCACTGTTTATTAGTAAGCAAACGTAACCAGCAGCCCTCAGTTGAGGAAGTTCTGAAGAAAGACAAGAAAATCCGCCCCTTGGATCTGATCCATAGGAATGAAGAGGTATCAGATGATTAAGAACCATATTTGATATTATATTATTTCTAGACAATTTCCCAGTGCAGAATTACTAAGAATTATTTCACTGCTCTGATGGAGGTATTGAAAGCAGTGCTTAGGATCTGATTAAGATCTTGAAATTTTTGCTTAGAATTTGATGAAGGTCTTGAAATCAGTGCTCAAGATCTGATGAAGATCATGAAATGAGTGCTTAGGATCCGCCGAATTTTGCACTTGAGGTTAAAAGAAATAGTGACAAAATATCAATTGAAATGAAATAAAATTATTTTTAAAAACAAGTTGATATTTTTTTAACCAAATTAAAATACACATCTTACATTAAATTATAAATTACTTTTGTCTTTATAGTTTTCCAACCCTAAATAGGTTGAAGTGGATGCCAGACAGGCACTGTACTCCCATGCCAGGAAGACAGGAAGGATCCTCCAGTGGTTCAAAAGGTTCGCGGTCTTTGGTATTCCCATCATAGTGATCATGTTCACAGTGCCATACTTTTTTATTGGTAAGCAATAAAGTAACTTTTACTAACTGCATATAGATGAACGTAATTGAAAAGGTCACAAAATAACCACTTGTTGTTTCTTAAAACTCTCTTTTTCTTGATTTAATTTATTTTCTGTCAATTTTCAATTTTCAGATTTTCTATTAGCAATACGCAGTAAAGTTACTTTTAACTATTTTTAAAGTATAACTGATAGTTGAACGTAATGGAAAGGGTCATCAAGTAACTGCTTGTTGTTTCTTAAAATTCCCTTTTGGTTGGTTAAAATAATCTACTGTCAATTTTCAGAACCCTGTGATTATAGTTAAGAAATAAGTACTAAAGGTACTTAAATTATATTTGAAGTATCACTAAAAGATGAACAAAAAAGGATAGGGACATACAAAACTGCTTATATTTGTGTATGTGTGTATATTTAAATATTTCTCTCTTCTGTAAGAAATCTAGGTAGAAATCAAAGCTGAAATTGAATGCCCTTATTATTGGTATTAACGCCAACCACTGTATCTTAAAAATAAGTAAATATTCCAATGTAGATTATTAATAGACTAATTTAGATTTGCATAGCGTTTTGTATTTTTTAATAATTTGATGTTTCAGGAGTGAATCATATCCTGAGAGCGAGGAAGGAAGTGGAACTTGAAGAGTAGACAAGCAAAGATCCTAAAGCATAAAAAGAAATGAATAAAAATTTATATGTCTATTTATCCAATAATTATTCAAATATCCCATCAATGATATGAAGCATAAAGAGAAATGAATAATATGTGTATAGATGTCTATTTATCCAATAATTATTCAAATATCCCATCAATGATATGAAGCATAAAGAGAAATGAATAATATATGTTTAGATGTCTATTTATCCAATAATTATTCAAATATCCCATTAATGATATGAAAATATAATGAATAATATATGTTTAGATGTCTATTTATCCAATAAAGATTTGAAAATTCTACTTTTATTTTATCAAGCTGTAGTGTTCGGCGTTGCCCGTTTTTTTTTAATCGAATTTATGAGGAAAAAAATACGAATTTTAAAGGGAAAAAAATCCAAGTCTAAAAATGCAAGCCTATTTTCCCCCTGGATACCAATGGGTTTCCTCAAACTAAAGCTAACATACAAATATACAAATATATATACATGAGCTAAGAGTATTCAATATTCAATTTTTTAAGATTTAAGCCGGCGCTCAATTGAAACCGGTTTTTCCCAGATTTAAGCCGTGGCTCAAATTTATTAAATTTGGACACTGTTTTTCAACACCCTATGAAATAACACTTTTTTGGAAACACCCTGTACATTTGCCTTGCAAGTTGCAACAGTCTAATATAATAAAAGTTTAAAACAATTAATTACTATTGATTAAACTCTTTAAAATAAATGAATTTAAAGCTTCTGCGTTTAACGCTATATTCATGCAAAGCAATAACAATTCATTTATTGTTTAATTATGAAAACAAGGAAATCTGATATTTTGGACTAATTAGTAGAATTCAGATAAAAGAAAACCTCTTCACACTGTGATCAGTTGACCGAGTCCTGTTAACATAACTCAACGTGTGTTCATGGTAAAAGAATAGTGCAGTTTAAAGGGGTTGACTGTAACAAGAAATTGAATATTAATGGAGAAAGGATTGACCCGGTCCGCCCTACCATATGATTATACATGCTTTGCAGACGTTCCTCCATTTGAATAAAATGCTTTCATTGCCTGTCTGATGTACAAATACCGCGTACATGTATTCAATATAGGTTATTGTATACATTAAACAGGAAAAAAGTAGGCTGAATAACGCAAAACAAACATATTTATTGGAGGATGCAAAAATATTGGCAATACAAACGTATTTTTGATCCTATAAAAATTGGTCTTATTTAACATTCTATAGTAAAAAAATATTTTTAAAAAATTAAAAGACGACCTTGAAAACTCTTTTTCAAATGGAGTACCCCTTACAAATGGACACCCTTTACATGACGTAAAGGGTGTCCCAATAAACATGGGAATTCAGTGACGAATTCGATATCGTCTTTTTAAATCATTCTTTGATTTAGTAAAGTGATACCTGCTGAGAAAGCTGTAGTCCGTAAGGTTTTCGTCTGCTATGTTTACAATTTGTTTGTATGTTTTGACTGCATACGGATGTACTTAGTAAAACAAGAAAATTACAGTCACAAACAGAGTAAACTTGTCCGTCTTCACTGTTCATCTTGCAAAGACATCTGTACAGCCATTTACCGTTTTCATAAAATAAACTTTAACAGACACAATAATATTATGGCTTTTGAAATCAGGTATTACAATGCTAATTCATTACAAAGACGATATCGAATTCGTCCCTGAATTCCTATGTTTATTGGGACACACTGTATAAATCATATGGTAGGGCGGGCTGGGTCGATCCCTTCTCCATTGTATTCCATACTCCTTGGGCTGTAAGTGTAATTTATAAGAAAAGTGTTTAATTCTGATCATTTCTTGATTGCTTCTTATAAGCAAGAAATGCGCAAGTCACTTTCGCAGGAAAAAAACGCAAATGAAATAAACAGTTTCAAGAAACTAAAATATAGATATCTAATTCATACTTGATGTGACAAAGCTTTAAAGGGTACCGTTTTAAATCAGGCATTAACCTCTTTGTATAGATGAACATGTGAAATTACACCCCAATTAATTAACTGCGGTCAGATTATAATTCAATGTGACCATTTGTTTTAGAGTTACATGAGTTACTAACCCTTTAATTAAACATATGTCTATGAAAAATTAAAGAACATTTTTTCTCTTTTTCGTTTTGAAATTGGCAACACAAATTTCTGAGATAAAGGCTGTAAGACCCAAGATTTTATGATCCAATGGCCATGAAACAGTAAATAAAAAAATCACTTAAAATTGCCTAATTGTCGTCTTCCTATTCCATAGTTGTATTGGTCTCACTGTGTCACATATTACTTATATAGATTTTAACGAGAGAGAAAATCCATTTTTAGTTTAAATTGGTAAGTTTCCAAGTGAGTAATTCCTAAAATTAACTTCCCAAGTGAGTTTTCCCTAAAAGTAACTTCCCAAGTGAGTACTACTCCCAAAAAGTAACTCACTAGTTGTGGGATCTCAAAAATTATCTTCCTACGTGAGTTATCCCAAAAAGTAACTTCTCAAAAAAGTAACTTCCCGATTGAGATCCCAAAAAGTGACTTCAAAAGTGAGTAATCCCAAAAAGTAACTTACAAGTGAGTAATCTAAAAAGAAATTTTACACATGGGTAATCCATTTACAAGTGCGTTGTCCGAAAAAGTAACTTCCCAATTGAGAAATCCCAAAAAATGAATCTTTCCAGGTGTAATATATCGAAAATTAACTTCCCAAGTGGGTAATCTCAAAATGTAACTTCCCAAGTGAGTAATCCTACAAAGTAACATCTTAATAGTGTGAGCTCAAAAACTATCTTCCAAAGTGATTCCGAAAAGTAACTTCCCAAGTGAGTAATCCCAAAAAGTTACTTCCCAAGCGAGTAATCCCAAAAAATAACTTCCCAAGTGAAAAACCCCAAAAAGTAACTTCCTAATTGTGTGATCTCAAAAACCATCTTCCAATGTGAGTTATCCCTAAAAGTAACTTCCAAAGGTGTTAGATATGGAAAAGTAACTTCCAAAGTGGGTTATCTCAAAAAGTAACTTCCCAAGTGAGTAATCCCAAAAAGTAACTTCCCAAGTGAGTAACCCCAATAAGTAACTTCCTAATTGTGTGATCTCAAAAACCATCTTCCAATGTGAGTTATCCCAAGAAGTAACTTCCAAAGGTGTTAAATATGGAAAAGTAACTTCCCAAGTGGGTTATCTCAAAAATTAATGTCCCAAGTGAGTAATACCTAAAGTAATTTCCCAAGTGAGTTATCCCAAAAAGTGACTTCCAAAGTGAGTACTCCCAAAAAGTAACTTCCTAATTGTGGGATCTCAAAAATTATCTTCCTACGTGAGTTATCCCAAAAAGTAACTTCTCAAAAAAGGAATCTCAAAAAGTAACTTCCCAAATGAGTAATCCCAAAAAGTAACCTCGAGAGTTTAATCTCAAAATGTAACTTTCCAAGTGAGTAATCCCAAAAAGTAACCTCGAGAGTTTAATCTCAAAATGTAACTTCCCAAGTGAGTAATCCCAAAAAGTAACCTCCTGTGAGTTTAATCTCAAAATGTAATTTCCCAAATGAGTAATCCCAAAAAGTAACTTCCCAAGCATGAAATCACAAAATGTAATCTCTGGAGAGTTTAATCTCAAAATGTGATCCCCCATTAAATTACACTGAGGTGATTCACGTTTTTACCATTCTCACGATTGGAAGTGCTTTAATTAAAATTCGACATGTTTAACAATGTTCCCTACAGTTCCCTACAATGTTCCCTACAGTTCCCTACAATGTTCCCGAATATTTCAAATTGAAAATAGATCTGATTTTTGTCAATTACAAGGGTTAGATTCTAGATAAGGCTAAGTAATTCTTTTTCTTCATTTCCAAATTCTAAGCATCTCACATGACCCTGGAGAAAGATTATCGCTGAAACTAAAAAACATTGCATTGGAAAAATGTCGGTTTAAATATATTTGAGATATCCGTCAAGGATTTTATAAAATTCGCTAAATTTCTAGTTTTAAGATTGTACAAAGTAAAAGTGGCAGCTTGAAAAGCAAGGAATTTTTATTCCTTTATAAAAAGCTGGTTTTTTGGTATGCAACAATTTTCATTTAATCCCGCCGGGATATTTTCATTGAAAGATACTTTGAAAATCTACAAAGGCAAAAAAAATCCGCAAAATCCGCAAGCCCTCGGGTTTATCATTGAATCCCCTCTTTAAAAAGGAATGTCATTTACTCTCAGACAAATTAGAATCAATGGAAATTTAAACCCCCGAGGGATTCAATGATAAACCCTTGGGTAAATGATACATTTACTAATTCATTGATTTTTCTAGCTATAGCTGACATTTCAATATAACTCTTTAACTGTCCATGGTAACCTTCTGGACAAAAACTTTATTGTCCTTTAAATAACATAAAGTTACCTGGATCAATATGCTTTAACTAGAGAAAAAAAACCTTTAAAAAATAATAGACATATCATCAAATCAATTTAAATGAAATAAATAATAAAAATTGTTTTTACATTTTGTTTTACAGTTTTAAGCGAATTTCATGCTGACTTTAAAATATAAATCTTTTTAATTCTTTTCCTTTCACTTGTAATTTATAACAAGTTTTAAATTAAAATGTATTTATATATAGCGAGGATTTTGCGCATTTTGCAAGCATTTTGCAAGCAATTTCGCACGGGTTTGCACAGAATTGCAAACTTTTTTATTCCGATCAAACTACAGTCCTCATCAAATGTAGGTAAAAGCTATTGAAAATGTATTTATACAATCTATTGAAGTTATTAATTGTATAATCAATTGAATTATAAAATCAAAAACAGTGCAATCAATTAACTAGGACACACTTAATTAACAATTAAAAACTAATTGTAATTTGTAATTGTTATCAAAATATTTTAGGAAACACAGCATACTCTCCAATTATGTTTAATGATACATATAGCAACCTGGACATATGGGGCAACAAACCAAACACAAACTGGCAACCAAAATCTTTCACCTTCAACGGCTTCTGCGGCTTCAACTGCTTTGTCAAATCCCTTGGCTCTTAATTCAGTCAATACCACAAATGGGTCTTCAATTTCTCCAGCTTATTTAATCAATTCAACTTCAATGCCTCTTCAGTCTGTACCAGCCACAGGTAGGGCTGGGTTGTTTAAAAATCTTAAGCACTGTTCTTGATCTTTCATAAAAAAGACTCTAAAATTACTTGTGTCAAGATTTTCATATTCTTCTG